TTTTTTTTTCGCTTATAAGTGCTCCTCCTTATAAGTTGCATTTTTACGACGTAGTAACGAAATTAGAAACGGAAATATGAATCCGATTAGATTCAGTTAAAACTAGGGCATCTGAGCATTTTAAATTCCTTCCGACTCTTCTACTGAACTCCAAGTCCGCGTACACACATATATATATACATGCACGCGCGCTTTAATCTCGCATTGCAGTTTTACGGTTGCTCTCAGGGACGTTTGGGAAAATTTTCAAGCGTCGATTGTTACTTGGGTCACTCGACGGATCGGATCGTAACAACCAGACCAGAAATCTAATTCGCGCGTCGTTTAGATTTAAAACTATTTGGTAACTAAGCTGTTGGTAAATAAACTTCACGTTTACACGTGATCCTTGTATTTGAAAAAAGAGTACACTTTACAAGTAGACTATTACTTAGAATAAGGCAGTCTGTTCCGCCGCATCACATTTGCGACAATATGTTTCTGAAGTTTATTTATTTGCTGCTTCTCGAGCAGTTAAAGTTTTAAATTGCAGTTGCCAACTGTTTATCGGACGTCCGTCATACACCTGTTATAGAAATATAAGCTTTTATCGCTGGATATATGTTTAATTATTACTACTTCTTACCTCAGACACGAATTCTAAAGCCGTACGTCGAGAAAATTCGTACTCTGCACGGTGTCCCCACGTAAATTCCACTTTTGTCGAATCGTTCGTTTCCAGCACTGTCTTGTTAAGGTATCCTTGAGCAACAAAGTTCTACAAACAAATCAATTTCACTTTAATCTCTCTCACATTTTCTACCAGATGTCTGTAATATGTTTGCCTTGCCTCTGTTTTTCATACTCTACTTTTTACCTCACTTATCAACTGTTTGACGTTACCAAAGTAAGAATGTTCCTCATTTTCGCAAAGAATACCTAAATTCGTGAGAAAGCTCCACAACGACTCTGAAATAATTTGGAAGACGTAGATGGTAATTTTATATACCACGAACAGCACAACTGTGCCAATGACAATGAAAGATTGTGGATGGTTTAAACTGGTACAACTTTGGGAAAAAAAAGAAAGATCGTACAATGATCCATTTGGTCTCATTTTGCAAGAACAAAGTTTCCATTTTGACAGTCGAGAGTTTGTTTTTTTTTGAAGATCATTTTACATCACACAACAGGTGAGAAGTTGAGGACACAATTCTTGAAAATTGTAAAAATTCAAACAAAAGTCTATCATTGGCACAGTTATGTTATTTACTGTATCTTACATATGCTTCATGTTACTACCTTCGCTACAACAGTCTTCAAGCATGAAGATATGAGTGAGTACTACGAGCAGTAGTACCATTTGGCTGCTCTCGGTCACAGAAGGATAAATATGTGGCAATGTGTTTTCTATTTCATTTACCAGCATGTACTTGCCACCTTCCAGTTCTATCAGTTGATATCCAAAAACCTGCAAACACAAAACATGGAATATATATGGAAAACTTTGATCAAAACAATCACCAAGTTGCAATCTGTACCATTGACAAGAGATTTTTCGCTTTGTTCATCGTTTGAACGAAATGTTTCCCACGATTGCCAAAGACATTTTTTATTATACGAGCTTTACTAATCATTTGTTTCCCTCCGTCCAACGTGAGAAGATATCGTATCAGACTATTAACAAGTTGATCGTTGTCTTTAGAAATCGCGTAATCAGAAGAAGAATTTTGTGACAAAGAAAGTACGCTTGAGCTTGTACTTGGCTGAGAGTAGTACACAACGTCTCTTGCATTTCTTCCTCCGACGCTTGGCTGCGATAAATTTCTTTGCATCTGATTTCTCCCGCTACTTCGTGAACCTAAAAAGCACGTGTCACATCACATGTGTATAGAAATGCTCGTAATAAAAATGTACGACGCTTACTCATTTTTTATATCATTTTATAGAGTACAATGGAAAAATATTATGGAGATAATCTATCGTAAAAAAATTATATTATTTATAACAACGCACTTTAACACTCTACATCCAGGCTTCATTGAAAATTGTATCGTATATACTATACATGAACAATTGTTTATGTTCGACAACGACATCTATCAATCGTCGAGAATAAGGTTTGAACAATCGTCGTAACGGCGATGCTAAAGAGAGGACCAGTTCAGTTTATCGCAGCGGCGCGCACGTTTCTTCTTTACCGACTGGATCAGCGACGACGCAATGTAAAGAATTGAAGAAAGAGAAACAAACGGCGGGAAATATGAGAAATTCAATTTAAAATCGATTACAAAAAGCAAGCGCTTGGCAAAATCGTATCGTTATACGTGAAATTTAAATAAATTTAACTTAATAATATTTGTTGTATTTGTACATTAATTATTGTAGAATATTATTAATTAAAACGAGTGAACGTCCATGTTAAAATTGGTACATAAATTACAACTTTTTCTCGTCGCCGCTAGATGTCGCACTCATGTCGTTTAAATCTTGTGCATTTCAAAAAAGAACAACGTACTTTGAATTATCGTTAACTGCATATTAAAGCAGAAGTACTTTTTCATTTTGAATTTGAAAAATCGCGCTTATTCGATAAGCGCGGGATTGGTTGAAAGTTGTTGGTTCAGAAACGCACGGAGTTCTCATCGAGAAATGAGAAATTAATCCTACGTCGGTTGGACGTTGCATTGTCTGATCTTCGATCGAATCTGTACGAACGATCTTTCTGAAGAGTAACAGTATCAATAACAGGCGTGTGAGTCAATGTTTGCTATATATGTATATTTACATGAACAATGTAGAATATCGATGTAATCAAAGATACATGTACAGGGTGTCCCAGAAGTCATAGTACAAATTGGATCAAGGCGATTGTGTGGCTCAAAGCAAGAGGAAAATCGGGAATACACGAGAATTGCGTCGGGGGCTTCGTTTTCGAGAAAAATGCAAACTAGTCGAGTACTGAACTGACAATTGTCTCATAGATATCTTCATCACAAATCACTACCGTGACTGGTTAGCTTTTGTGTTCAGTTTCTACTATCTGGATGTTGTATTCTACTATCTGGTAACTATACATCATGTTGATCAAACCGTTAGTGATCGACATGACGCAATGCACTAATTTTCCCATCTAAATTATTAGTTTAGTTTGCCTTAACTCTTTGAGGCACACGATTTTAAAGAAAACAAAAGTTGCACAGGCCATTTTTTAATGTAAAAAAATATTAAAATATGAACTGTCTGACTTCAACTTTTCGAGGCAAGTTGAAATATATCCCACCATGCATAAAAAGTTAAGCAAAAAGTGGGACAGTTTTTAACCTACCTAATCCCAAAAAAGAATGTGTCGATAGATGAGTAACAATAATAAACAAACCCTGACGTTTTATCGAATACGAAAACTGTCACGATAGCAGTTTGTACGATTTCTATAAGTATTCTATAAGTATTATAGCGTAGTTCAGTGATACTCAACTGATTTTCAAAATTTTCAGCCACCGAATCGCCTTGACCCAATTTGTACTATGACTTTTGGTACATTCTGTACATGCATACATACATAACATATACACATATGCATATGTATCGTGTGTCAAGTGGTGTTCGCTTGGAAAAAAAGGGTGTTTGGTAGCCGTGTTCGTTATGTTTTTGCCAAAGACGCGAAACAACCGAATGACTGGTCGCTTCTCAAGCATTAATCCTGCATGCTCTGTAGTCGCATTGTCTGCGTACAGATCAGAGCAAGACTGGTATGTGTATGTGTGCATGTGTATACGTATGTATACAGCAGAAACTGGCTTGGTACGAGATCTTGGCGCCACATTGTCGCATCCTATATAGAAAATCACTCTCGCGTCGGCGTGGGGAGCGTATACATACATACGCGCACACACAACACACACACGTGGGCAGAACGCGCGCGCGTTGGATGTTGGCGGCCAATAGACACGGTAAAATAGCAAACAAGTCGCAATCTCCGTTTTCGCTTCTAATCGAGATTTAACTTTCAGCCCTTTTTTCTAATCAATTTTCGTTTCTCGATCGATGGTATGAATGTTTTTGCAAGTACGTATATAATTCGTTGTTGGTTTGAAAAAGAAAAAAACAAAAAAATTAAAGAACAAAAAGCAAAACTGGAAGGAATGAAATTTGATTAGATAATTGTTACCGATTGTGCAAGGTTCGAACGGGGGAAACCAAATTGCAGTCGCAATGAACGCCTCTTTTCTATTTCAGCGATCTGGTGCAGTTTCTAGGCCTGCTGACGTAATCGATGTTGCATTAATTAAACGAAGAAGACATCAATGCCCAATCACGCGCCATTTACGCCATTTGCTTGTTTATAAACGTTCTCATATGTAATGTGACTTGCACAGAATCATAGGCGTAGGCGAGGGCCGTCGAATTTGCAAGTGATTTCTACTCTAATATAATCGAGTTTCTGCAAAATTGGAAATGTACTTGAAGACGGATATTTCGCGTGGTACCAGAGATGGAAAATTTGGAAACATAGCTGTACCTATGTGTTGTATAGGGTGGGCCAAAAATCACTTTCTACCGAGATAAATCTGTAATTTAATTTTAAGACTAATTGTTTTCTTATATTTTATTAGAAAGAATAGGTGTGAGGAAACACTTTTGGCAGTATCTTGTGTACATATTGTAGAATGGGAAGAAAAGAGGGAAGAGAAAATTTGGAAACATACCTGTAC